AAGAAGGAAAGTCCAAAATACATTCAAAGCATCTCTATCAATTATCTTCAGGCCCCATGCCACGGACAGAGCATGATAGCTATATATCAAGAACTTTTATTGTTTCAATATACTTTTGCGAAAGCTAACCAACGTAATTATATTAATTAGGCAACATGCAGAAGAGCAGTATTGGGGTTGTGATTTCAAGTAGAAGAGAATACAAGTATCGGAAATGAAGATAAGAAACAAAAAAAAAAAAGGATAAAAAGAAGAATTAGCTTGTACCTCTTAAAAAATAAATAAATAGTGAACTAAGAATCAGCTGGTAGATAGCATTAGCTTTCCCACTCTTACTAGGTCTTATATCGTAAAAGAGTAGATTCTTGTTTATTTTTTGCATTTATGCTCTTGTACTAGGATTTGGCTTACATTTCCCTCCTCATTATTTTCTATTCTCAACAAAATTCGAGCTGATATCGCACACCGTGAACAGCGTGAATGGTTTGTCACAAAAAAAAAAATGACTTGGTCATTATTGAGGGGGCAAAATTATTAAGGACTTATGTAGAAGCTCATTCTACAGAATCTACACAACTATAGCTATAGGCATGAGCGTACCTGTTGGCACTGAGCGCTCCCGCAACCAACATTTTTGAAAGTGGTAGACTTAGTTGACTCAAACACTGTAGAACCACATCCTACACAACCATTGCAGGGTACCCAGCCAGCATCATTGCTAGTATCCATAGCCACAAGCAAGGTTTGGGCTGGTGTCCCAACTTTAACCCTTACAATATAAGTTGGACTTTGCGTGATCTGCCTCCCAGAAGCAACAGGCACCACAGACCTGCCTGCTACAAGACTGGATAGAAAAAGAAGCCTTGCTTCGTCCTTTGACTGCATTTGGAGAACACTCTCTTCCCACGAGAGAGGTGTTTTCGGCTTAAATGGGGAGCATTGGCTGTAGACATGGTAGACCTGGAGGGTTGAGCCTTGGTCAGGTGTGGTACATGACTTGAGACTCAGCCCTTGGGCCAAAGAGAGGAACAGAAAGGATAGTGCTAGAAGGGCGGCTTGCAGAGGGTGGAGGAAAGCAGGTCTCATGGCTTCTTTCTAGCCTTGAGTCAAATTGGTTCAGTGCTATACAGGGGGAGGGTGCCCAATGATGTGCATATATATAGCAAGGAAGTAGGTGACGGGGGTGGTTAATTAGGATGCTTTTCAGAATTTAGATTAAAAAAGTGGATTGACTGAGCACTTTGATGCTACATGAGATGAGTAGCTTAGCTGGCATTTATTTAAAAAATAGCGTTAACTAACATTCATTGATGCGAGGAAGAATGAGCTAAATGGTTCGTAGAGTGTAAATGAGAGATTTTGCTAAAAAAAAACCTACCAGTCACACAAAACATAAGATGTAGTTTTGACTCTAGGCCAGGAGATTTTTTTTTTCCCGAAGAATCTAGGCTAAGAGTTCAAATCACTTAAATTAAGTGAGCATAGTAATGTACTCTTATCTATAGACTATAGATGGGATCCTTCTTGAACCAGTTAGCATTCTCTTTTAGTATAGGTTAACTTACGAATGGCACGGTTATTATTTCTTTGATAAAACAAGGTACAATCCGTAGTTTGATATCATATAATTCGATTTTTAAATTGAGATACTATAATCTTCTGAGTAATTAAATAACTGAATTTACTTAAATGGATACTCAATTGGTGGAAAAGTAGAATTTCTCCCAAGTTTCGCTATCCTAATTGTTTAAGTCCATAAAGCAGTGCTCAGATAAATTATTTAATCAAAAAATATGCACATATGGAAAATCATTAGACGGAAATGGAAATAATAATAATAATAATAATAATAATAATAAGTCCCTACCATGTAAAGAAAAAACGTAGGGGATTGTTGGTGGACCTATTGTATGAATATCATAGAGTACTTGAGACCAGACTGTACTCCATTTACTTTGTATGATAGCCGATTGCCTCTCTCGAGCGACCAATATCTATCATTAGTATCATGCTACCACTCAGATTTTTCTGCATGTGCCGTGCACGTTGAGAGTGAGAAAGAGAGACGGGTGGGAAATTTTGGAATATTGGGATGTACATACATTCATTACAGAACAAGTCTAAGGGCACCAAAAGTTTTCAGAGAATGTGAAGAATAGGTGTTTCCCAGACACAAATAGTGGAATTTCTAAATAATTGTTACTTACATTCTGTTCTTTTTGTCTGTTATGCACAGTGTGGTCTCTTTCCCAGTTCCCATTTAATATTTAATTCTAGGTTTTGTGGGCAACTACTGATTTATTATCACATCTTAAACCCATTTAGCCAGCTACAAACTTCTCTGGAAATTTTGTTTTCTTGCACGACAGCAGCAATTTTTGGCGTGACAAGTAATTCCAAATTTCGCTGTGGGTAGGACGAAAAGCATACTCTTCCATCATCTTGAGGATACGGGGCAGGAGCGGTCCTTAAGGACCGCTCCTGAACGGTCCTCTCACAGGCAAAAACATGAGGAGAAAAATGATCCACGTCAGGAAGGCTTAAGAAAGAGCAAAAACGACGCCGTTCGAAATTAAAAAATTTTGACTTCCAAACGGAATCAGATGGAGCAAACGGTAGAATTGAAATTTTGAAAAACAAGTTGAAATTTTGAAATAGCCGCAGAAAACAAAATTGAGGGAAGAGTTTTGGCATGCTACGCCTGAAGGTAGGGAGTTGACAGAAAACTCTTATCTCAGTTTTCTTTTGTTAGAAAACTCTTTTCTCATCTCAGTTTCTGTCCGAGAGTGTTACCGAGAAACGGAGAAGAGACTTCGGAGACTAGGTCAGCAAATGTTGTATCCACTTAAATGCTTACAAGGCAAGCGGCAAGGTAGAGTGTTACCGAGAAACTAAGAAGAGACTTTGGATATTGGGTCAGCAAATGTTGTATCCACTTAAATGCTTACAAGGCAGGCGGCAAGGTAGAGTGTTATCGAGAAACTAAGAAGAGACTTCGGATACTGGGTCAGCAAATGTTGTATCCATTTAAATGCTTACAAGGCCGGCGGCAAGGTAGAGGCAAACAGAGGAAATTCAGCATCTCATAAAACACCAGATTTTATCCTTCAACTTAATAGCAGAAGCAGTTGCGCTATCTGAGTTTGGTGAAACCTAGAGCATATTTACAATACCAAGGTAATGTGACTGAACCATGTAACTAACTATGGCCAATCATTTGTCACCCAAATGCACATATGTTAAATTAATGATGAAATTAGATTTATTAAAGACATCATATGAAGATGATAGAAGAATAGTAAAGTTGTACCGTATCTGTGTGTATGCGAGCATTCAGCTTTTTAGTGATGGATTATAATGAAATAGTAGTTATCGAAAGACCCAGGGGCATGTATTCAAGTAAAGCGGAATTAGGGAAAGATGAGAAAAATAAAGTCATATTTAACAAGTGAATGAATGTACATCCTGTTGTAAATTAGTTACAGGTTATAGGCACTGTATTATAAGTGATATGAATCATTATGCATCCAGCAGTTGGTCCATGCTCATGACACAATCTTAGTTTGCCCCTCTCTCCTGACCATACGGTGTGTGTAAAATAGAGGTACAGAGTTGAATGAGGTGAAGTAGAGGAAAAGACCGACCTATGTGAATAATAAATGGGTGTACTTGGTATTGTAAGTAAATTACATGATGTAATAAATATATTACAATGAGTAGAAAATGCTTGTTTGGCCCTCAAAATATAGAAATAGTAGAAAATGCGGAGTTGGTTTCGGCGGTTGTCATTGACGAATGACATAAGGTCCAGTGAAACAAAGTACCTAGAATCTAAATATAATCACCCGAGTGGATAAACATACAGTTAAAATATATTTACATCATGTGACCAACACATTACAGTACGTATAACCTAATGTACACGGAGTTGTATTGTACATACATAATGCCGTTGTCTTAGAGTATAATAGGATTTGGTATACGAGTATTTGTATAACATTAATCATATCGATTGGGAGTAGTAATAGGATTTAGTATACAAGTAATGTGTGTAACATAACACATTATGAATGGTAATATACACTTATGTTGTCGTTTATGTACATATTATTCATGAACTGTTGTAAATTATGGTGTTTGATATATAATTGGTAGGAGCAGGAGTAATAGATTGTAGCAAATTAGCAGAAGATGGGACTCTTGAGTTAGGAATGGAGGTCAATAGTGAAGAAGATGCGTACAAGTTTTACAATAAATATGCCTTTAAAATGGATTTTAGTATACGCAAAGACTATTTAAAATGGGTTCTAGAAGCAAAGTTGTAAATTAGTTACATGTTATAGGCACCGTATTACAATTGATATGAATCATTGTGCATGTAGTAGTTGGTCCATGCTCATGGAGCAATATTAGTTTGTCCCTCTCCTGGCCATGCAGTGTGTATAAAATGGAGGCGCAGATCAGAATGAGATGAAACAGAGAAAAAGACATATATGTGAATAATAAATGGGTGAACCTTGTGTTGTAAGTAAATTACATGATGTAAGAAATATATTACAATGAGTAGAAAGTACTTGTTTGGCCCTCAAAATGTAGAAATAGTAGAAAATATGGAGTTGGCTTATGCGGTTGTCATTAACGAATGACATAAGGTCCAGTGAGCTAAAAAACCTAGAATAAAAATATAATCACTAGCGTAGATGTACATACAGTTAAAATAGACTTACATCGTGTGACCAATACATTACAGTCTGTATAAGTTAGTGTACATGGAGTTGTATTTGTACATAGATAATGCCGTTGTCTTAGAGTCAAAATAAGGTGATATGAATCTTTAATCATATTAATAAGTATAATAATAGGATTTGGTATACGAGTACTGTGTGATTCATAACACATTATGAATGGTAATATATATTTATGTTGTCGTTTATGTACATACTATTCATGAAGTGTTACAAATTAGGATGTTTGATGCATAATTGGCAGGATCAGAAGCAATGGATTGCAGCAAATTGGCAGAAGATAGGACCCCTGAGTTAGGAATGGAGTTCAACAGCGAAGAGGATGCGTACAAGTTTTACAACAAATATGCCTTTAAAATGGGTTTTAGTGTACGTAAAGACTATCTGAATAAAGACAAAGACGGCGTGACCACGTCTAGAAGATATAGTTGCTGCAAGGAAGGTGTGAAACGCAAGTACGAAGGTGATGTGATGCCAAAGAGGACACGAGCGCCGACGAAAACAGGGTGTGGAGCTAAAATGGTTATCGTGTTGTTTAGAGGAACAATGAAGTACCATGTGCATGACCTTGTCTTAGAGCATAACCATGAGTTGCACATTGCTCAATGTGCGCACATGATACCATCACAAAGAAAAGTGACCGAGGCTCAAGGATTCCAAGCTGAAATAAGCGAGGACGCTGGGCTTTCATTGAAACAGAGCCATGAGCTTATGGGAAAGGAGGCAGGTGGGATGGAAAATGTGGGATATACTCGGGAAGACCTGAAACGATATCTTCGTACTCGACGGGAAAGGAGTTTGAAATATGGAGAAACAGGTAGCATGCTGAATTATTTTCAAGAGCAAACACTCGAGAATCCATCGTTTTTTCATGCCGTACAGCTGGACTGTGAAGAACAGATAACGAATATCTTTTGGGCTGATGCAGGAATGTTAATTGATTACAAATTTTTTGGAGACGTAGTCACATTCGACACAACTTACAAAACAAATAAAGAATACCGGCCACTTGGAGTGTTTGTGGGTTTTAACCAACATAGGCAAATTGTGATATTTGGTGCTGCCCTTATGTATGATGAGACTATAGATTCTTTCAAATAGGTGTTTGGTACATTTCTAGAAGCAATGTGCGGAAAGCGTCCAAGTACCATACTAACCGACCAAGATCATGCCATGGCAGCCGCTCTTTCAGTTGTTATGCCTGAAACATTTCACGGTCTATGTACGTTTCACATAAGGAGTAATTTCATGAAACATCTTGGCAATCACTACAAGGAAAATAGTGATCTTCCATACATGTTTGGTGCATGCATGTATGAGTTTGAAGAAGTGGAACAATTCAATAGGGTGTGGGAAGCGATGGTGAAGAAACACAATCTTGAAAATAATGAATGGCTCTCCGGGTTGTATAGAATTCGTGATAAATGGGCAAGGTGCATGATGAAAGAAAGATGGACCGCGGGAATGCGAAGCACCCAACTTAGCGAAAGCCTAAATGCAGCAATTAAAAATCATTTGAAACTGGATCATGACCTTGTGCAGTTCTTTAGACATTTCAATCGGGTGGTTGATGAAAAGAGACATAATGAACTGATCGCAGAATATGAAATGAGGCAAAATCTCCCTATGGTCGGGTTAAGGCAAACACCTATACTTGTGCATGCATCAGAGACGTATTCACCAACCGTATTTGTTGCATTCCAAAATGAATATGGCGAGTCAACAGCTATGATTATATTGAGACAACAAGATGCAGCGATGATTGTGGAGTTTGCGGTCATGAGGTATGATGGAGGACCTGAAAGAATAGTGGTATTCAATCGGAATGATCTAAGTGTACGTTGTAGTTGCAAAAAATACGAGAATGAAGGCATTTTATGTGGGCACGCGTTGAAGGTGTTTGATACTGTGGGCATAAAAATAATTCCTCCTGAATACATTAAGAGACGATGGACAAAAAGAGCTCGGGCTGGAGAATGTTTTGATCGGCGAAGACGGGAAGTTGTGGCTGATCCTAAAATAATGATTTCAACTCGTTATCGGGAGCTCGCTCCAGCCATGATTAAGGTCGCAACTCGAGCAGCAATGTCGGAGGACACCAGCAAAGTAGCAATCACTGTCATATCCGATTTGGCAAAGAGAGTTGAACTCCTTCTCTCAGAAAGCGAAGAGCAACCTTTGCAAAATCAAAAAAATCTGAATATGGAGGAACGGGATAAAGTTGAAATTGTGAATGAAATGGGGGAGGCAGTAGTCGTAAGAGGCATTAAAAAACGAGGCGGTGGGAAAAAAAGTAGAGTGATGCGAAGTTGGGTCGATGAATTTGACAGAGTGAAAAGAAAATCTAGATTATCAAGGACTACACAGACTACGGTATGGATCAAATTTTGGTACTTGGGGAACATTTATGCTAAAACTAAGTTATCGTTATACTATTAACTAAAGTTTAGGTACCATTCATTATGAAATAATATTATTGCCGTGTCAATACTGTAGGTCTCAGAATCGGAGCCGACATCGGTTTCATTTGAGGAATACATGTTTATGGGATGCCGTTCATCTACTGACTCTGTTTCGGTTAGTATAAAATGGACATGATTCTTGCTGTTATTTGGATGTTTCTAACAGCATAAATAGTTACATTGATGTTACATTATGTGATAATGTTGTTACGGCCGTCATCCCTTCTGATATACCTATTTTATTTGTCTTATATACTGATTTGGCCCATACGAAACTCGTAGACGCATTCAATGAGCCAGACAGTGAATGGCCCTCCAAATGCTGTTGCTCCCGATATCGATGAAAGTCAAATGGTATGCATACATTTAGTAGTTAAAATAAAGACTTTGTTGTTCGTGTAGTAGAGCTACCTTTTTTTCTTTAATTGTAATGGTGGGCGCCCGAAGGCTGTCAAATTACCTTTTTTCTTTCATGTAGTTAACGTATGTTCGCTTTAATAACATATAATTTTTTATTATTTCAAGGTCCACCGTTTGGCTAATCAGGGGCCTCCTGCAAGTGTCCCTACTGAATGGATGCATCCCAGATTTTCTATTTTTTCCAAGCATAACTCCGTCAGAGATGTCTTAATGGTCTGATATATCATTTTTGTTATAATGTCTAGTCTAATTTGACTTTATAAGTGAGCAATATAAGCACTGGTAATGATTTGTTGACAGTAGATTACTTATACTATATAATGCAGGAGGAGCGTGGGGCAATTTCAACACACTGTGATGTTGATGCATATCATGTATTTGTACCATCACCTCAGGTGACAAACTTTTATCGTTACAGCTAATATTTATGTAATGTTATTAATTGAAGACTTGGACATCGTATATCATTAATCGTTTGTTTCATTAAAAATATTTGCTGATTTGCCATCATTACACATTTCAGGGAAGAAATAACACCCAGGGATTGCAATTACGCGTTGATGTCACCTCCCCCGAAAATGAGGTTGATAAATGATGTGTAACTATACTTTTTGAACGAGACATTAAGTGATTGTCCCAACCTGAGAATGCTGCATATGTACATTACAAGCAGTTAATAAGCTGTTACAACTTATTGACGAGGTTGTACAGGCAACATTGATGGACCCTCTTTTCAAATTTGGACAAGTGGATTACAATTGTAATCGCATGTAGTGTTAGTAGTCATCAATAGTTTGTATTGGGTTGTATAAATTTGTTAGAAAATTATAAAGTTGGTAGAAAATTGAAGTCACAATTTTACAATAGAAAATAACTTACAATTGACGACCCGCCTTCAGATAGTATTACAGGCACTTCAATAGGTATTACTCCTTCAGTACAGAAAAGAACTTACAATTGACGGCTTGGCTTGGTTCCACATAACCACATAATAAGTAACAGTTTCGCAGAAGAACATGATAATTCGTTGGGACAAGTAATTTGAAAGTAGGGTAACTAATATTTAAAATGCAACAAATTTTGATTACTCCATGTACATGTTGAGTTACAACCAGTTATCCATAAGTTACAATTCATTACAACTAATGAATTTGCAATCGACAGTTTTTCGTCTTATCTAGTTAAAACTACTGATATTACAACTAGTGATACTATAACTAGTTAATATGTGATGAACCTTTCCTCTTCTCTTGTTTGTGCCATTGCACTTGACATACTATAACTTCTGTTAGCATTAACACTGCTGCAATAGTGGCCTCTAACACTATTACCAGCAGTTTCCCTATGAAGTTTTGAGAGTGCTAAAGGTTCCCCGCAATCCTTGCTTTTGGTATCTGAAGTAGTTTAGGTACTAGTCTTCTTAGCTCCCAGCAATACTGAAGCAATGTTAGCTTTTGTGGACAATTTTTTGATAAGTGGTGCAATGTGCATCTGATTTTTATTTCCTGCCACTTATGGTGCTGTTTGCCTAATCTTACAACTACTTGTGTATAGTTTTGTGCATTGCAATCCTCACCATCTAAACAACTAGCTGTAGATGGTGTTTTTGTTCAGAATTGGATTGCAATATAAGGCTTACGTATCATGTTACTAGACTGATAAGATTTAGTATCATGGACTATGTAATTAGTAGAGAAGGGGCAAGGACGGTTACTACCGTTAAAGGTCGTATAATTATTCGTTGTTGTTCTAGTGTTACAACGTGTACAAATGATGTTACACCGTGTGGGACGGTTACTGCTGTTAAAAGTAGTATAATTACTTGCGGTTGTTCTAGTGTTACAACGTGTACAAATGATGTTACACAGTGTGGGACGGTTACTGCTGTTAAAGGTAGTATAATTACTCGCTGTTGTTCTAGTGTTACAACCTGTAGAAATGATGTTACACCGTGTGGGACGGTTACTGCTGTTAAAGGTAGTATAACTACTCGCTGTTGTTCTAGTGTTACAACCTGCACAAATGATGCTACACTGTATGCAAAATGCATACAAGCTTCCGGAGTGCAACCGTTCCGGCCCCAGGTCCATAATTAGTTATGCATCTCTATATTAAGGTATAATCTCTGATAATTAGTTATAACATTCTTTTTATTACACTTTTACACCCTCAGCTTCTAAATTAATATCATATGCCTATTTATTTCTATTTTTATCTTCTAAAATTCACTAATCATTTTGGGCTTTGGGTAAAAGTAGAACAAAAATAAAGTCTCTCTCCTACAATTCATTTTTTACTATCATTTTCAAATAGAGGGGCTGACAAGATACCAAAATTGTCATTCCAGGGGTGCTAAGTGTGATTTCAAAAATATGGGGGGTGGTAGATGTGATTAGAAGAAATCTCAAGGGAGTTTCTGATATTAACCCTTTATCTATATGACTAATACTGATTTATCTATAAACACCTTTACTCGGGGTGATCTATGAGGTACAATAAGTTTACAAACATGTATATTATGTTACATGTTAGTTACTTGCCTGTTTTTATATTGGTTAAAGGTTCTAATTTATTTTTAATTAGATTAATTGTGTTTATAACTAACTTTACCAAATTTGTGCTGATAATCACGAAATATTAGCTAACTTGTGAGGGTATTTAAGTCTTTTTGGCCATGATAATGTAAGAAATGGGACCTAAATTTCTGGCAGGGGAGGTTTATGATATTTTTGAAATATCATAGGGGTCCCCTGTGAGACTGTCAGAAACCTCAGCTCTAAATATCTGAAAGGACTCGGGGCACGGACGGTTGCAGGTGCAACCGTCCCGGTCAGTTTTGGTCATTATCAATTGCGCGTAACTTTCTTTGTACATTGTGTAACTATTTTTGCACGTCGCGTAACTTTAGAGCAAATTTTTGTGGGATCCACACATGGCGCGAAAATCGAGTTACATCTTGTTATCTCAGCCGCACAAATTTTTGAGGGGAAATCTGGACCATTAACCGTGCAGGGACGGTTCCCTGTCCCATTTCCCTAAAAAAAATGGGTGATTCTTCTGCTATAGTATACATGCAACTAATTGTTAAGGTAACCATTACAGTTTGAGGTTTGGTCCAATGTCAATAAAAAGAGAGTATGAAATGGGACTAATAGTAAAGTGGGGTTAGACGAGAAGTTTTGCAACAGGGGTCAGTATATTAAATACTGGAAACGGGGCAGGAGCGGTGATTGTAATAACCTCTCCTGAGCTGTTAATGGCCATAATTTGGCCGCAATAAATTGTACGATCCAGATCACAATTTGCACATCGATATTCGCATCGTGTGTGGGACCCACAAAATTTTGTATTAAAGTTACACGTGGTGCAAACAAAATTACACCGTGTGTAACCAAAGTTACGCGTTGTTGAAAATGACCAAAACTAGTATCTACCTCCTATTTGATGCAATTTATTACCAGTCTGACTAATATAAAGTGAGATGAGGTGGAAGTTATAAACTTGCGCAAGATTCAAGATGTCTTATACAAAAGCACTATGTGTAACTTTTTATGTATTCTATGTAACACACTTTCAACTACGAAAGCAGATATATACCAATCCATGTCAATTAATAATCCTTGCGTACAAAGCATGAAGACGATAAGAACGAGCATCTCTATAAGTGTCATAACGTGTTTCTAATAAGTCAAGAATTTTGCCATTGCTCTTTATTGTCCATAATCTTAGTAGTGCCGGTATTACAAGTAGTTAACAAAAAGTAATCGGAGACAGATTTAAAACAATTAATGTTCGGCTAATGTTATTACTGACAATATTCTAGTGACAACTCAAAACCTAACTTAAATTACAAGTAGCTGCAAATATTGGTGCTAATGTGTCCAGAAAAACAAAACCAGTAACTATTTCAAAAAATATCCTTTGCTATTATGCATAGCAGAAACAAGAATTTACATCCCTGTTGAAGACTAATAAATGCAACCATTTACTATTTACTCCCAAACGTGGCTGCAATAGTTTCTACAAACTTTGTATTATGCTCCGAACTACAAAGCCGTGCAGTGTACAGCATTCGATACTTCGTAATATTTTCCTGCCACAATTTCACCTCTGATAATCAGCACCATGATTAAGGTATTTATTAATCGTTTTATTGTCACAAGTACGTACAAAGATAGTTACAAAACGTGACCACACCTTTGTAATTCGCATAGCCAATCTTCCACTCCAGTGTTCAAGAAAGGTCATCGTGAAAACTCCACTATCGAACCTGGTCAGATCAACATGAATCTTCTCAAAATAAGGATAATATAGTAAGGTGATGGTAGTACACCATTGCAGTGATAAGGTATCGGGGAAAAGGTCATGGAAGATCCGATATTATACCAACTATCGGGTGACTGATGAGGGACATCAGCAACTTCGAGTTTGAAACTTGCAAAGTCAATTTTCA